CCGCCAGTCATCGCCTACCCGGAGACGTCGCTTGTTGGCGGCTAAGTAAAGAAAGAGAAGTTTAATTTCCCCAAATTTTATTAAAACAGTGATTCTGCCAAAAGAAACGTTATTGGAAAGATGAAATCTTGCTGCAGAGAGTGCAGTTGGCTGTAATCTCAAGCTTTATCCCAATAAGAAAGCTTTTTTTGCTATATTAAAAGTGTAGGGCTTTTCCGCAGTGTGTTCAGAAGAACTTGACAAAATGCTGACTAACAGCCTTTACTTAAAATTATTCCTAAAAAGTAGTTTAAGGAGACTGAACCTTGAATTTTTTTGCTGTATCATTTATGAGCATTGTAGCTCGGTAGTCATAAACTCATCCCTGCTTCTCTCTTTTTCCCATCCAAATTAATTAAAATACAAACAACTCAAAACCTTTAATCAAGCCTTAAAATTTAGTAGCTATACTAGCAAAATTGTTCCTTTAATGTTTGTATTGCTTTTTCTTGGTAATCCTTACTAGACTTTCTACCTTCTTAACAGCAAATACTCAGTGGCTATACATAAAAATAAAAACCCCAATGTTTAATTTAATAAAAGGTGTCCAATACCAGAATCGCTATGGTTAGATGAGGAATTAAGAGCTTTAATTGGAGGGGCACTAGAATCTGATGTCAGAAGGGACAGGGGGTTTTGCTGCGTGGGCTCCTTGTGATCTCTGCCAGCGACAGGCAGGTGTGTGCCCAGTGGTACAGGTACTCGGCTGGCGCTGAGCCGTGCTGCCACCCCGCCACTCTAGGTACGCCTGGAACAAAGAAGAGCTGTGACTCCAAAAGCCAAGTCAAAACTGTGAGCAAAACTGTGCCACAAGACTGAATAGAAGATCGTCCCATCAGTGTCCAGTCACCTACGTCCAGTAATTCCACCTGGGAAAACGGCGATGCTTGAGAAGCGCACAGCATTATTGTTGGCAGTGGCTGGTCGAGCGTAGGAACGCTGCCTTTTTATTAGAATTTATTTTGTATTGTGGTAGGTCACCTGTTGTGCAAAGTGCTCTGCTGTGTTTTAATGCTGAACATTTGATACATAAAGAGAAAAGTGATTTTTTTCCACGCTCAGATTTGATTTAAGAGTAATTATCCTTCAACGCACTTTTACTAAATGTTATTAAAGGTCACTACAGAATCATACCGTTAAAGATTGCTCTGTTGATAGAGTGTAGGTTGTTTTCTGCTGTGTTCTGTATTACAGCACGCGTATAAGGAACATACACATTATCTGATGTTCATTTTAAAGGAATTCCTATAGTTGTAAGTCATACCTGCATTCGCACCACTGATCTGATACTAATCTCTCGGAATAAGTTAGTAAGATCCATCCTAGGAAACCAACGCTTTGTAGCACACCAGCAGTTTACCAGAGCTGTATTCTTTCTAGCTACGTCTACATCCCTAACTGGAGCCAGGCTGGATGCTCTAGGCTTGCTGCATTCCTTCCAGTGAATTAGTTTTGTACATATGAGGAGAACACATGGACAGGAACTACGACTGCATGAAGTGTTGGGTGCTGATCAGCAGGCAGGGTACTGTTCATAAGTACCCCCAGCTAAATTAACAAGTCTTGTCCACATTTGATTTTTAACAGGCCTCTCAGGCTGGCATTAGATCATCAAGGGAGAAGTCTCAGTGAGAACAAGAGTCATTTCTCTCGCAGAGATATTGCAAATAGTAATAGCTCTTGACTGCTCTGGCACCAAAAAAGCCCACATTCATTAAACGGGAGAAAGACAGGCTGAAAACCAACTCCTGTCAGTGGCCAGTGAGTATATTAAGCACCTGGCAGATGGTGTTTACAAAGAGGAGGGCTCACACTGTCCTCCCACGGTCCGGTTGCTGTTTGGAGCTGGGTCAGTCCCTCAGGCAAGGCACAGAGGTCTGAAACAGATTTACTTGCCAAAAGAACCATCATTCTTAATATGTTTATCTGGAGGTTTACAATGAGGTCACTTGTTCTGGTAGGTTTCAAAGCTGATCGACTCCCCTTAAGGCAGTGAATTTTGATTCTAAATTTAACAGGTTGACTTTTAGTGACCAAAAAAGACTGCAGATATTTAGGACCCCTTATCTGTGGTTTACCCTCTTGCAAAATCAAAGTTAATTTCTGAAGTAAGGACCTTAAAAGCACTCAGCTGAAGGTTGCCACTGACACTGTTTCATTGCTGAGCCATGTCTGGTAATCTCACAATTAGTTTATCATATTTACCAGTGATGCAGCCCAGCAGCGCCTCTGCTTGCACTTGCACAGATGCAGCAGTTGGATCAAAGCAATAAATCTCCTGAATCAAATTGTCATCAAGTTTCTGCAATGCAGAGAACAAAAGGAGTCAGGAGGCAGTGAAAAACTCAAGGGACAGTTACAGAATTAAAGATGGCAAAGTCAAGCATATAGGAAATCTGTAGGTAATGAGTTATTTCACTGACAATTCACCCTTGGCAAATTCCCCTGTATCTTGAAGGAGGAAGAACAGGAAGTCTCAACATTTTGAAGTCTCACCAGTTTACACTGACTGCAGTTCTCAGTCTTCTCTGAGCCCTTCCAGTTTGGATGGAAAAGCCACAGCACAGCCTTGACTACGTTATGTACCGGAGCTGGCGGTTCTGCATAGCTCCTTATTTCAGCAAAGCTCTCAGCAGCGAGTTTCTGGACACACTCGCGCAGGTCCTGCAGCATGAACCAGTGGAAGAGAATCCCCGTGTGCCTCCAATTTGCCACGTGTTCTGCCTCCGGAATCAAAAGCAAACCTTTCAGGGAGTTACTCAGAAACATCTGCTACTCAAGATTTACGTTATTGACTGAAAGGCTCTGCCCTCTTTGTGATTAGCTCCTTGTCTCCTTGGCCAATTGATTTGTGTACAGCCTGAGCGTCCTGTGAAACTTTAAAAAATGGATATGAGCTTGAGAAGGAGACAAAACTTGCCTCAGAGGCAAGCAGAGGTCCTGAGGCCATGAAGGGTTCAGGCATGCAGGTTATTCTGTAACTCTGACATTCAAACTCGTAGTTGGGGCAGTTCTGAGGAGCACATGCTAGACCCCTGAGAGCAACAGAGCTCCTTGCTTCACACCTTTGATTTCAGTGGGACTTGGGCACAAAATACCTTGTGAACTAGAGTCAAAATCTAAACATTCTGTTTAATTGTACTCTGCTAAGCACTTAGGCTTGCTCAGGAGTAGTTTACGTGTACCAAAAGTCTGTATTTGTCTTTCCATACTTGCAGGAATGATATTTTAGATGTAGTTCTACTGAGATTCCTGATTTCACTGCTAAAAAACCCTCTCTTGGCTCTGTACGCACCGTACCCAGTACATAGGTTGGTTCTGTTTCCTCTAAAGACATCTTCAGTATCTCAGAGCCGGCAGCTTGGGCCATCTTCAGCATTTTCTGCTGGTCTTTTTGTTCATGAGGTGGTAATTTCTGGTGGTGTCCAATGCTGATACCAAATATACCAAGAGCTTGTCCTCACAGGTCACGGAGAGGTGCTGCAGTGTGGTGTTCCCCACAGACAGAAGTGCCAATGACCTCTGAGCTGTCTATACACTTAAACAGGTAATCTCTGAAATGAGAGTAAAGAGAGGAAAACGTATTAGACTTCACCATTCTGGTTTCTTTTGGTAATTTATTTATCGTATTTTAGTAAGATGCCATTCATCTCTTGTTAAAACAAAGACATTACATTACTAAATCATTGTTTAGTTCCTTGAACTGAAATACGCACAGCTTTAAGTATCATTCAAGACATATACAAAAAGTAGAAAATAGCATTGTGGAAGACAATACTGCTTAGCCAGTTGCTGAAAATCATAAGACTGTAACAAACCTTGCTTTAAAAACAGTTTCCTGTTCATAACCACTTTGACATTTGTTCTATAGAGTTTTATAAAAAGTGAAAACATCTGCTGGAACAGCAAATGACTGTTCAACCAACTTTGACAACAAGGATGTTATACTTAAAGACAAGTCTGTGAGGAGCTTGCCAGTGGAAGGAAACGGATAGTTAAAGGAAATGAGACTAATATGGCCAGAAAAAAGACAGATTATTCTAAAGAGCAAAATGGTTCAGTGTAGGCTCTAATCCTGCAAACCTTTCACAGCAGATGTTGAGCTTCCTTGGCAGCTCAGCTGGTAAGCATTGAGTTGGAAGTTAAGTTTTTGCAGGCCCAAACTCAAAGAGAAGATACTCCTCACGCCTTCATAATTCAGTGTCACATGGAAACACACCGGAAGCTGCTCTTGCAGGGTTGCATCACCGTGGGCTTTATGGAATGTGGATCGTGCCTGATGCAGGCTGGACTCTAGGACCGGAGGTGACTAGTTCGATTGCAGGTGCTGGAGCCTGCCTTAAGAGGTTTTCTTTTCTGAGGAGAACAGAACTATGAATTTCTTTTTGTCCCGTGTTACCTGTAGCAATGTTTTGCGCAAAGCATAGTCCCGCGTCTGCCAGAGAAAAGAGAGGTTTAGCTGCATCCAAGAAAGGAACAGCCATTTTGAAGCTTGGAGAGGGAGAAAAAAGTTTATTTCTTAAAGGAAACTCCGGTGTACGTTCAAGTGCAATGTGATGGTTTAAAGACATCTCCCAACAATGCTTGGTTTTATTCCCAGAGTATATTGCTCAAGATGCATGGAGAATGTGCCCTGGACCTCCCTCAGCCAGACTGTTTAATCCACCCACACACTGAAGGACACCCACAGGCCAAGAGGAGGTTTCCCTTCTTTTTCCCATCCTCTTGCAGTCCTCTTTCTCATGTCATGTTTGTGTCACTGTGCCTTGACATGTGAGAAGCACAGAGGGGAGCAAATGCCCCGGCTATCAGGCAGCTAACGAGGGAACAGTGCAGAGCCTGGAATGACAACAGAAAGCTGCCAACATAAACCGTGCTTATCAGAGGAAGCAGATGAATTATGGCTACAGCAGATGTCATACAGGCTTCATGATGACACAGGATCAGTCCTAAATATTGCATACAATTTTCATCTTCTTAACGCACTTGTACATGAAG